GTGTAACGTTGTGAAGCCGATTCCAGAGCCGAGTGCAATTTTCCGTCTGACCTGGAAAGAAAGGCATTCCCTTCCGCGTGAGATTGGCCAACGTGCCGAGTGAGCCCCCTGCTCCAGATGCATTGGGGGGAGGAGGGTACGGGGGGCAGGGGGGGCTAGGGAAATGCTCACAGCCCACCTTGCTACTTACTCCACGTGCTCTAGGAAGACTCATTTAGATTCCATGCAGATCGTTTAATAACAGATTTTGTAAAACCTTAACATAAGGACCCCCGATAAGCCGCATTATCTTTTATTACCCCGACAGAGGATGCCGTTTCAGATGGCAATATATCGAAGCCCGAGAAAAGCTGCCTTTGCTCTCGGGGAGTGCCAGGCCCACGCAGGGGTGCCCGTTTCTGCGGTTTTATGCGGCCACAGATATAGGTCCCAGAGAGCGTCTCGGGGGCCGGTTTCTCGGGGGCTCATCTGAGTAACACTCCCTCGACCCCGCTTAGCTCTCTGGAAGGTTGTTGCCATAGAACCTCACGGCTGTACCCCACTTTTCATCCCCATTTTCTCTTCCTGCCACCAAAGCTCTACCACTCAGGAGTTGGGTGATGACATCTTAGTTCCGGGAGTGGGCTCCGGCCGTCTCCACCCTCCGGCACAGGAGCTGCAGAGACCCCCACCCACCCATCCACAAGGAAGACCACCCAGGTCCAGGCTGAGTGGCAGGTATCCCCAACTGTCGCCCAGGGCTCCCCAACTCCCCCCACCAGGCACAATGCTGACAAAGTGCTCGGTGACCGATTCCTCTCTAGCACCCGCCTCTCACCCTGTCCCCTTGGATAGGTCCCATCCCTTCAGCCCCTGCTGTCCAGTTCCATGTGTGCGTCTACAGAGCATAATCACTCCATCTGTCTCAGTCACCTCAGCCCAGTGGATGCCTGAGAAGCTCCTTCAGAACCTCCCTGGCTGGGCTCCCAGTGCCCATCCGAGGGCAGAGGCTTCCAGTATGCTGGGAATTTTCTGGAAGTCACCTGTCACTGGGAAGAGGGCCGTGTTGCACACCAGTTGACACTGGCGTCCCTCCACCCACACTCCTCACGGTGGCCTGTCCAGAGTGTCATCTGAGCAGTGCCTCACACCCCCTGGCATCAGCAGTGGCCAGCAAGTGGGGGGGGAGACACTCCTGCCCCCGTCCCCACCTCTGACAGCTCCCCAGGAGAGAAGTGCAGCAGCAGCAATGGCATGTGGGGACAGTGAGGGCCTGTGCAGAGACGCGAGGACCCCTCGGAAGGGGCAGACTCAGTGATCGCTCTGTTAGGGGCCCTCCTTGGGTGTGGGCACCCGGGCTCCAGCCTCCTGGGGCTTGTGGCAGAGGGTGGTCGTCACCAATAAACAGGAACCAGAGGAAGTGTGGGGAGGTAGAAAGGTGTGAAGAAGGGAAACGGTCACCTGGAGAGAAGCCCAGTCCGGACTGACCAGACAGGAGAGCAAGAGGAGATGGACGGGGCCTGGGGCTCACCCCTCCTCCACGTCACATCTCTTCTTCCCCCCGACCCGACTCCCTGCACACTCATTATTGGTGACAAATGTCCCACTAAATGCCAGCTCGCACGGAAGCATACACAGGACACGCGTGGTCACGGATGGATTCCGTGTCTCTGTAAGGACTCGGCCTATTGGTTCCACGAGGAAGTTTTAAATCAGATCAGTGAACCCGCCCGAGCCCACAGGGCTAGCCCGAGTTTCTCCTCACCACACACTCTCCTCCCGTTTCCAGGAGACGTGTGCCCCCCGCCCCCAGGAGCTGGGAGCACCCTGGGAGAGCATGTGTGGTGGGTGCATGCAGCTGCAGTCATCAGGGCCCGAGCAGGGGCTTGGCCTGGTGACATCTTACACATCAAATAGCGGAAATAAAATCAGCGTGCGATTCCATTCTCCCCAGGTTGACACAGCCCATCTCTCAGTGAAAGCAAAGCGTCTCTCCTCAAGCCAGAGCTCCCCAAAGTCCAAGCTACTCCCCGAGAATAGTGACTCTGGTGTGGCAATGCCGTGGCTGGCTAGACCCGAGCTGCAGAGATGGAATTTAGCTCCGGGAAACAGTAAAATATCACCATTATCAGTGATGAAAGGCAGCCACCCTTGGCGCTGAGTCCTGGCAAGCGGGCGGGGTCCAGTGCGGGGTCCTTTGTCCTTGGAAACTCTGCCAGGGGACCGGAACGATAAGCAAAGAGGGTTGGGCGTTTGCTTGCGGGTGGCCAACCCGGATTTGATCCCCGGCATCCCTTACGGTCCCCCCAGCACCGCCAGGAGTAATTCCTGAGTGCAGAGGCAGGAGAAACCCCTGAGCATCGTTGGGTGTGACTCAAAAAGCAAAAAAAAAAGGGAAAAAAAGGAAAGGAAAGGAAACTCTGCCAGCCAGTCGGGCGACAGGAAGTGTGTGGTGGGGTAAGGCGGGGAGGGACGGCGTCTCCCTGGGCACTGCAGGGTCTTCCTGCACCACCGTCACAGCCTTCACTGCAGGCAGTCGGGAGCACTGGGAGGGCCCAGAGCCATTCTTTGGGGGAGGACAAGGTGCGGACGTCACATGGGATATTGAGGGCCAGCCTGCGTCGCCCACGCACCCTTGGCCAAACTCAGCCCGGGAAACAGACACTAAGAAACAGCAGCCGCCTCTTCACCTCCGTGGCTGTCGGCCGCCTCCTTCTCCAACGGGCTCTAGAGCCAAAACGAAGCTGCCGCAAGGCACGGGGGCGTCCCAGAGTTGGGGGGAGCTGGAGTCAGGAGCCGGGCATGCTGCAGATGCCGGCACAGCGCCACCTTCCTCCCGGGGAGCAGCTCTGACGAGGTCATCCCCCCCACGCTCTCCCGCTACACCCCGGGGTGCCCCTCCCTCAGAGCCTGCCACAGGGGCTGGGAGAGGCTGTGGGAAGCAGGCAGATGTCCCGTGGCCTGCCCCCCCAGGGAGGGCCCTTCTGCTGGGCGCAGGAGACCAGAGGGTCCGGTTGTTTCCTCTCGAACCTTCGTGACGGCAAAGATCCCTCTCGCAGGCCCGGGAGTAATGTGGGGTTGGGCTAGAGGGTTTGGGGGAGCCGGCTCCATGTCACCAGGGTCTGCACTTCCTGCTCCCAGGGTCCGCCTGGACTTGGGGATTCCTGGGAATCGGGAGGCCAAGAAACATGACGTCTGGGGTTTCTCCATGAGGACGGGGCGTCTATGGGAGCCCCGTGTCCTGGGCAGCACGGGTTCCTGAGGAGCGGCCAGCTGTGTGTGTGTGTGTGAGAGAGAGTGTGTGTGTGTTTGTGAGTGTGTGTTGGTGTGTGTGAGTGAGTGTGTGTGAGTGTATTGTGTGAGAGTGTGTGTGTAAGTGTATGTGTGAGTGTTAAGTGTATGTGTGAGTGTTAAGTGTATGTGTGAGTGTGTGTGAGTGTGAGTGTGTGAGTGTGTGAGTGTGAGTGTGTAAGTGTGTATGTGTGTGAGTGTGTATGTTTTTCAGAGTATGTGTGAGTGTGTGTGTGAGTGTGCGTGTGAGTGTGTGTGTGTGTGTGTGTGAGAGTGTGTGCGTATGTGTGTGTGCGCACGTGCACCCGGGTATGGGGAAGACTCAGTGTGAAGGGTGAGACCCAGTCATGGGGTGCTGGTCGGGGTCCCAGCTGGGCCCTGACACAGAGGCTCAGGGACAGGTTCTCGGCGTCTTCCACCTCTCAGCGGTGATTCCATGAAGAAAAAGCAGAGGACTATTGACAGGCCAGTGACTCTCCCTTTTCATTCATTCATTCATTCATCATCCTGTTATTCGTCGATTGCCTCGAGCAGGCCCCAGTAACGTCTCCTTCATCCTAGCCCTGAGATTATTTCAAGGCTCTTTAGGAGAACGAGACCCATCATTGTTACTGGTATTTGGCATATTGGGTACGCCACGGGGAGTTTGCCAGACTCTGCCCTGTGGGCAGGCTACATTCGATAGCCTGCAAGTTTGTCCAAAGTAGGAATGAGATAATAAGATGTCATAAAAGATGTCCTGATAAGATGACTCTCCCTTAGATCTGCTTTATTCTGGCAGTTGGGTCACACCCAGCAGTGCTCAGGACTGACTCCTGGCTCAGTGCTCAGAGGTCACTCCTGGTGGGCTCAGGGTCTGTGTGTGGTGCCCAGATTCTTCCAGGATTCTGCCCTTCGGGGCTCACACTCCGGGGGGGGCCCTGGGAGTGGTGACCCCTCACCCCGGCTACACAGGCTGGGAGCAACTACCCAACAGCGATTTCTGCAAACCACCCAGAGCCCACCAGACTGCCCGTTGGTCAGCGCATCCCATAATGGCCACGCCCATGGCCATCTCACCCCCATCCAGCGTCGCCCAGTTCCAAACAAGCTCCAGTGGGTGTCAGAGAAGAGGCCTCCGTGGTGTAAATGTCAAACATGCACATATGCCCGGGCTCACGTTTCAAGCCAAGGCCAGGGCAGCCAGCATCCATCCCGTGACCAGTCCAAAAGCACCTTCATGCTCCATGGGCAAAACCAGCAGTCTTGGGGCTGGAGCGATAGCACAGCGGGGAGGGTGTTTACCTTGCACGTGGCCAACCCAGGTTCGATCGCCGGTATCCCATAGAGTCCCCCGAGCACCTCCCGGAGTAACTCCTGAGTGCAGAGCCAGGAGGAACCCCTGAGCACCGCTGGATATGACCCAAAAAGCAAAAAAAAAAAAAAAGCAGCAGTCTCAGGGCTAGAGCAAGAACACAGCAGGGAGGGCTCTTGCCTTACCTGCAGCCAACCCAGGTTCAAACCCCAGAACCCCATCTGGTCCCCCAAGCCCCACCAGGAATAATTCCTCAGTCCAGAGTCAGGAGTAAGCCCTGAGCACCACCTGTGTGGCCCCAAATCCAACGGGGAAAAAAGAACAACAATCGGGGGACTGGTCACAGACGTCCACCCTAGACATAGGGTGCTGAGCGTGTCTGACCGCCAGAGGGGCCTGAGAACAGATGCCACATCTCTGCATTTCTGCCTTGTAGACACTGGAAAACCCGAAGTACGAATTGATCATCGAGGCCCAAGACATGGCCGGGATGGACGTGGGGTTAACGGGCACAGCCACCGCCACCATCCTGATCGATGACAAAAACGACCACTCGCCAAAGTTCACCAAGAAAGAGGTAAGCCCCGGCCACACGCTGCCCTGGGCGCAGAGCTGAGGGCGCCTCAGCCTCCCTGCCTCCCTCCTGTTCCCTCGCTGCAAAAGCCAAATATTCCTCTGGGGGAGAGAGGACGTGTTTTGTCAGAATGCTTCTTCACATTCTCAACTCATTGTTTTTTTAAGCTAAAAATATCAGCTCAATGCGAGGACAAAAGCATGGACCTTGTGAAGGTTCCTAAGAAAACAATCTGTTGTGCTGTCTTCCTAGTCTTATCCGGCGTTATTCCCTGGGTCCTGCAAACTGAGAATGGTGATTTTTTTTTTCAGCATCGCAATGACTGTCTTTCCCAGTGAATGTAGACTGAGAGGCCGGTGGGGACCGGCACAGGGGAGAGCAGAGCCCCTCCCCAAGATCCGCCAGGAACCCAGGGGTCCACAGGCTGTCTGGACTTGGGGGGCCAGATGGATACTCCTGCTCAGCCCCCATGCTCCTCCGGTGATGCCCATGAGCGTGGGGCTCCCTGATTCTCAGGAGCACTGTTCAGGGGGAACTGTGTACCCGAGATGATGCTCAGTTGCTGAGTTCGCTGGAAAACCAGGAAGAGGCCCTTTGCATTGAGCCTTGGGGAAGCCGGCTCGGGCCATGCCTGAACTCTGGTGTGGTCAGGGCATGGCCAAGGGCTGGAGACCCCCCCCCCAACCTGGGCATGATCCAGAGACAGAAGGAGGCCCAGCCCGGGCGCTGGCTTGACTCTGTTTCCCTGATCTGTTTCCCCCAGCTCCCTCCCGCTATCCCTGGGTGGTGGGGGGCTGTTTCCTTTTGTTTCTTTAGCAGTGCGAGTGTTTTCTAAGCCTGAGAAGGCCAGTTACCACCCTGGCTGCAGGGTCCTACGGGTTCCGGCGAGCGTGCTCTGGGCTCTACCTCTTGCCAGCATTGGGGTTCACCACCCACTCGGGCATTCAAGGAGAGATCCCAGGTGACCCCGGATGATGCAGAGCAGGTCAGGTCCCCCGGGACGCTCTGTCTCTGTCACTCTACATGGCTCTTGGGACCGGGGTGAACATCTCACCCACTGTGTTCCCCAAAGGCCAGAAGCTCAGGGTTCTTCCTTCCCCTGGGCATTCTGCAGTCCTAGCAGAGGGAGACGGGGAGGGTGCTAAGAGACACAGTTCATTATCCCCGAGGGGTCCCAGTGGGCTGGAAATGTCTTGGCACTCCAGGAAATTGCTTCCAATAGATCACATGTTGTTGGGCAGGAGATGGAGGAGAACATTTGGGATCAAACATCTGTGGGGAGCATTGTGTTAAGCGCTTCTACTGTAAGATTTCTGCAGCTCCTGACAATGTTTTGAGTCTCTTGAGAGGTTTGATGATGGTCTAGTGGGTTTTCTGAGACTTATTTGGCCTGGGAATAATTTTTTCTGGACTCCATGGTTTTATTTAAAAGACAGTAGTAGAGAAAGAGTAGAGTAGGCGGACCATGGAATGTTTATTAGGGAGATTGGTTTATCTGCAGGACTTTTGTTTGCTTGTTTGCTTTTGTTTGGCTATGCTCAGGGCTTGCTCCTGGTTCTGAACTCAGGGATCACTCAGGAAACTATAGGGGGTGCTGGGGATCAAACCCAGGTCAGCCACATGCAAGGCAAGCTCCCTACCTGTTGTACTATTGCTCCAGCCCATCGTATTTTTTTGATTTTTTTTTAATTTATGTCAGAAGAAGGTTCAAGGCACATTGCAATATTCAATATAGACATAATCATAAAAATAAAAATGAGATGACCCCAAACTAAAATAAGATCTATCTGTGTTACCAGGCGTGCGAGAGTAACTATTTGCCGCAATGCCGCTGTAAACTTAGTTCTGGGACTCAGATCACAGACAAAACTTGTGTCTCATTGAGAACTAGATGTGAGTCAGAGACTGCCAGTGGCACCAAATTCAAAGAAAAATTGCATCTTGACCTTTTTTCCCCAAATCTCCCATGAAATCTTCAGTGAGTTTCCCTCATAGCTCTTCACACAGGACTTCAACTAAACATAGCTTTCACGTTTCCTTTGTTAGGTGTTTTAAAATGATCTTGGACAAAGTGATTCACCTGCGATGTTATTTTGAAAGATTTGTGTCTCAAACTTAGTTGACGCCAACTCAGAGCAAAGAATTTCATTTGTTCGGAAAGTCCGGGTTGGGAAGAGTCATAAAATCTCTCTGAAATGCTTAAAAAGAATGTGTTGACAATTGATTTAAAAAAAAAAAAGATTTTCCTTCAGGTAGCCAATCAATAACTCACTTTCCAAATTGCGCTTTAAAATAGTACCTCGTAATTTATAACGTGCACTTTGGGTTCAGTTTGGTGCTTTGGTATTTGAGTTGCCTGTCCCCACAGCAGGAGACAGGATGAGCTTGAGTCACCGGGTGCATCCTGGCCGTATGTCGGACCCCTTGTCAAATATGTGTTTGGCAAATGTCTCCCCCTCGGACAGGTTCCCTCTTGGCTTCCGTGATGATTTCTCTCACTGTGCAGAAACTCTAGTTTGGTGTAGTCTCACTGTCACTGTCTCTGTCCTCCCGTTGTTCATCGATTTGCTCGAGCGGGCCCAGTAACGTTTTCATTGTGACACTCGTTACTGTGTTTGGCATATCAAATACGTCACGGGGAGCTTGCCAGCTTTGCTGTGCTGGTGGTCTCATTCACATATTTTGATGTTTGTTTCTCTTGTCATTGGCGCCAAATCCACAAAATCTCACTGTGGCAGAGCACGAGTAGCTCACAGCCCGCATCATTTTCTCCCTGTTTTGTGGTTTCATGTTTTGTGGTTTCGTGTCTTGTGATTTCATATTTTGTGGTCTTGTGTTTTTGTGGTTTTTGTGTTCTGTGGTTTTGTGGTTTGTAGTTTTTGTGTTTTGTGGTTTCATGTTTTGTGATTTTGTGTTTTGTGGTTTCGTGGTTTGTGGTTTGTGGTTTGGTGTCTCGATTGAGCCACTCACTGGGAGTGACTTTGTGTGTGGCACGCAGTCGTGGTTCTGCCTCCCTCGGGCAGCTGGCTGTCCTCTAGCTGCTACTACTCATAAAGTTTTCTCATACTGACTTTCCATAGTTGTACACGCTAAGGTAATATTCAATTTGTTTTTATCATCATGTTGAGTGGTTCTGGATAAGGTTTAGAAAAGTGCTTTTGTGTGGTATGTCTTTCACAAAAAGTGAATCTCTTCACCCTCCAGAATTCTGTGCAATAAATGCATGTATTAAATAAAAATCGCCTCCTCCTACAAGGGTTTTACCCCCTGAGAAAAGTCCTTTAAGGTAGACCTGTGTCTAAGCCTCGGCCGCATAATCAATCGCTCAATCAACCAATCGCCTGCCTCTCGCTCAATGGGCCAGTCCCGAAAGCCAGGCACGTGCCTCTCGGGAGACCGGATCCTTTCAGCCTGACTCTGCTCACTTTCTAGAGGGCGGACCCCATGACATTTTAACAAGCAGATAAATCTTTAAGGATGATCACATGGTATTCCAAATAGTTCGTCCTCCTCCTCCAGAAAGCTTTCTACAGCCACGTGGGAGATGCGAGACTGCTTTCTGTGATGCTGTGAAATACCAAATCTGACACTTTTCTCTACTACTGTCTTTTAAATAAAACCAAACATATACAACCGGGATGCTCGTCTCACGCTCTATGGAAGTGGGGAACCCCCCGACGTGCTGGAACGGAGCACTCAGAGAGGACACGGGGCTCAGTGCCCAAGGACACGGACAGCCACAAGACTGCCCATACGTCAGTCCTGGGCCACCATTGTGCATCGTGCAGACCAACACACACATACACACACACACTCGCACACACGCACACACACATACTCAGATATACACACTTGCACATACACACATGTGCACACATACACACACTCACATACACATTCTCACACTCCCGCACATACTCACATAGATATGCACGCACACATATATGCACACTCACACACACACATGCACACACAAACACACACACACCACCCCATTCACAGACTCACTGGCTCTGTCTGTCATAAATTGCATTTCCAATTTCCATCCTCTCACTGAAGAGGGCTCAGCAATGAAGCAACCAGCACCCACATTCCACATTACCACCATAGGAAGGGGTGAGATCATTGCTTGCTTCTCCAGACCAAAATCAGAGAAAAAAAATAGGAAATCGTCAGCACTCCAAGTGTTCAATTTTCAGACGTATTTGTGACCTCAGGCCTGCACTTGGATTCCTTAGAGAGGAGCATGTGTTCACCTGTCAGGAGTCTCTACAAACAACCCATCATCTGGAGAAGACCCTTCCAACCACGACCGAAAGGGGATGATGGCTCTCCCAGAGTTACTTGACCAGAGAGGAACTTTTGTGTGCTTGAAATGCCCATGCTTATTATTAACTGCTTGAGTGTTGTCAAAATATCTGCCTTTGAGTGGGAAAAGTCCTCCTGTGGCTGGTTCTTCAGTTTAGTTCATAGAGGTTGACCAGATGCCCTACCGCATGGGTTACTCCTTCCTAATTATATTCATGGTGGTTGATCCCCATCATCCTCTGCACAAGTCTGGGCCTTGGCTACCCTCTACCCATGCTCAGGGGGTCACAGTGACTTGGTGACGAGGAAAGCCATTGTCTCTGCAAACGGGCAGAGCCTCCAGTGTGCCGGAGCACAGCAGGTTCTGAAGCCTTGACACATCCACTCCTTCCCAAAGACAAGCTCAGAGCAGTGAGCCTGTTTTCCCACTAGGATGTCACCTGGCAGCCTGTCTGCAAGGCTGTTGTCATGGGGAGGGCTGTAGCATGCAGCCATAGAGCCAGGTGACAAAACTGAGACTGTCGGGAAAAGACTCACCCAGATGCACACCTGGGAGCTGCCTGGACCCAAACCAAGTCAGATCCCGGGGGTTACCCGGGAGGGTCGGTCCTGCTTCTGGTCACAGCCCGTCCCTCCAGCCACCAGAGACGCTGCCTCTCCTGCTCTCTTCCCCTGTGCTTCTCTTCTCCTTGGCA